TGTTTCCACTTAGGAGGTAATAATGTTAAATGCTTCAGGTAAAGAGTAAAAAAAGCCAATATACTTTATAATAGATACTTAAACAAGTTGTTGGGCTCGCATTATTATTGTTTATTATCTTCATTCGTTATCGTCATATCGTTGGAATTTATGGTTGAATTTTCTTTTTTTATTATTTAAACGCGTTATTGATCAGATTTCTCCATACAAAACGATGTTGAAAATAATTTTTTGAAGAGGCATTGGTACATGCGACAGATAGCATAGTTACATTGTGAACCTGATTACATTACTACTAGTTATACGAAAATAATGATTTAGACAGTTTTACAAACACATACACAATAATTTATTAATTATTAATTGTTGTTGCATGTAAAATATTACAACATTATGTTGTAGCAGTTTTTGGGAAAGGCCTATATCCGGCATTGTAGATCTTTCGGCTAAAATGATGACGATGATGTTATAAGGATTTTAAATGTAGTGCAAATATTGACATAGCATTTAATAAAGTTATGTATCTGTGGCAGAGCCCCTCAGATCTTTGCGAATTAAAGCCCTAAGTGCCATTGTTGTTTACATTCGTGTCCCATATCACCAGGTGAACGACCCGGTCACCCCGTTACTTGGTGTCAAAAAAAAGAGTAGTTCTTATGCCTTGTGCAAGGCATTTATCAACGACATTCATTTACAAATTTACATAGCTCAGGAACACATTATATGAAAGTGTAAATACCTAGAGACATATTATGTTTGCATACGATTTTTTTTAATAACGTATAGAGACAGACATAATATTAATACGAGGAATAAAAATAAACTAGCTGTTCTTGACAATCGTCTTTATAAAGTCACAAAATCATTCTGGTTGATATTCCAAATTTTATATCGAGCGCTTTTATAATTTGCAGCAGTTTCTGGATTACAAAAATAGATGACGCACTTAGTGAAGTAAATTAAATTGCAGTGTCCTAGCAAAATTTACGTTGGATTAATATATTTTAAGCCTTCATGTACCACGTAAACCAATAAACGATACGAATGTTGTTTACTTCGATATTAAAACCCGTTCATTACAGCATACAAGGATGATATTAACAAACTTATTTATACCTTTTTTAAATATTTTTGAAATTAAATTTGTAGTCAAATGCGAAATCATTTCAAACTCAGTAGAGCGTTGTTAAACAAAAAAGTACGTTAACAATGTCAAAATTTCATACAAAATGATCTCCATATCTGTGGCGCTTCCGGCCATAAGTGCCTCGAAATGTTATCAGCAAAAATGTTGGTTCCAGCTCGGTTCGACCTGACATTTCCCTTTATTGTACACTCATTTATTCATCCATTTACATTGCACTCTTTTTAAATGAGCCCAGTACACGCGCTTAATCCTCCATCAGTCCCGCTTTGTCATTCCCTCCCGTTTGTCTTTTGTCGTTTACATTTTCCGACTGTAATTTAACAAATAGAGCAGAACCGAGTGCTTGACAAACGGGACCTTTTCTTAGATCATTAGGCACCTAATTTAATTGTGCCCGGAAATCTACGGGACCACAGAGTGCGTCGTGGGCAGAATCTCATTAATTTAGTAGCGAATTAAATTACTGAAGTCGAGGGTCAGTCGGATAAATGTACGTAATATAATAAACATGAAACGGCCTTACGTATGTAAATACGAATACGTATGCTGGGCTTCCATGTCATATTGTACCTATATTCTAATTGTTACGAGCCCACGTTTGGGAGTCGTTACGAAGAAATATTAAATTAGTTTCGGTCTTTTGTGTAATTAGGTGCGACAGGTTATGTGAGAGAACTAGATTTCATGAGGGCACTCACTGATAATTACAGTTTGAGATGTCTTTAGCGACATTACACCTCATCTTTTCAAAAATCAGATTTTCTGTATGTGTAACTCAAGTTGTTTTAGATATGCGTATTTTTTACATTCGTTATTTAAAATAGGAAAGCCTATGTATCTACGCAATAAGCTAGTAATACAAACGCATGCTAAGGGAATGCGCGACCGAGGTGTCATGATTGAAAGCCGATCATGTCACTCGCTGTAGCCTGTGGTTGCTTCAAATATGCCTCATCTAAAATATGTAAATGGCCAAAAATGCGGCCAGGAAGCTGGGCATCCTTGCCAAGGTGAGGCGTTACTTCACACCGGAACAGTTGCTTCAGTTGTATCAAGCACAAGTCCGGTCGTGTATGGAGTACTGCTGCCACTTTTGGGTTGGCTCTGCTACATACCAACTGGTCACCTTGGATTCAATTACCAGGCTTGTCAAGAGGCTTATTGCCACCTTTGGGTTGGCTCTGCTACATACCAACGGGCCACCTTGGATTCAATTAACAAGCGTGTCAAGAGGCTTATATGTGACTCGGAATTAGTAGAGGCGAAGCTGCAGAGCCTCGACCACCGCCGTCAAGTTACCTGCTTATTGGTATTTTACAGGATATATCACGGAGACCATGCGATGGAATTACACGATTTAATTCCGCCTTCCCCTTTCCATCATCGGGGGACTAGCCGTGGGCTTGGATTCCACCCCTATATTGTGATTATCCCAAAGATTCGCATGAAGCCTTACGCTTGCATATTTATATGGCGAACGGCTATGGAGTAGAATTCCCTGCTGCAGGCTTGTTCCCTGAACGCTATAACTTGGACCTTTTCAAGACGAGAGTGTATAGGCATTATTTAGGTGTGCATGCTCCATCGTCGACCCCATCGTCACTTTCCATCAGGTGAGATGGAGAACAAATACACATTTACATTCGAATAAATATAATGTAATAACCTACCTTCTCCCGTAAGAGCGGCGGTGTCTTTATCGTTACGGACATTTAAACGTAAATGCTCACAAAAGCAATCACGAAATGCAGGTTTCTTATAATTCGTGCCTATTGTGTTGTTATACTGGTTTTTGATATTTTGGAATTTTAATAGTATTTTGCATTTTCATTATTAATGTAATCTTTGGCCTGTGTGTGTGTGATTAATTATAAATATTTATGTTTGTTCCTGACCATTAAGACCTGTGACAGAAAATCAGCAAGGACAATGTACTTTACAACAGCAGTAGAGCTCTTTGTGACAGAGTTTGTCCAGGGAAGTACTGCCATCTTACCTATTTCTGCCATCAAGCAATAATGTGAGTATTACTGCGTTTCGGAAGTATTTGAAGGGTGAGGGTGCTAATGAAATTACAGGCACATGGGACTTGTCAACTTATGTCTCTGGGTGACGGGCGCAATGCTAGTGCCCCTCAGATCTTTGCGATTTAAAGCATTGAGTGGCACTGCAATTGTTATGGACAGGAGTGTCGCTTAACACAAGGCATACCGCTTGTTTGTCCCGTCATGTAGTATTGCATAAATTAAAAAATAAGTGCTTTATTGTCCTATGTAGCTGAGTCATAGACCCATTTGATGTGTGTTTTTTTATAATTATTATTAATTTGCACATTTTTTTCTCTATGTTGTATTGCATGTCAAATAAACAATTTTATTTTATTTTGATGAAGCAATTAGCATTTGTTAATGTTTTACGTTTATGAATGATATTAGTATTTCTCTACTTATAATAATAGTTAGTCTATATAGTGTCCCACTACAGGCTGCCTCTCACAATGAAAGGGTTTGGGCTGTAGTTCCCACGTAGACCCAACGGAACTTCACACACATCATTAAATTGCTTTGACAATGTATGTAACTATCTTTACAATATTTTCCTTCAGTGAAAAGCTTATGGTATAAATATCAAATTTAATTTCGCACTTAAACTCATAAGTGTAAGCCCAGATTCGAACCCACGACTCTCGAGATGCGGTAGGTCAAACTATTAGGCTACTATGGCTGTCTACTTAAACCCTGTAAACTACTTAAGCCTGTAAAAACAGTTACTTACAATTTACAATCATGTCTGTGTGTATATATATATATATACATACACAGACATGATTGTATATATATGTATATATATGTATAGAAGTACATACACATAATAATGTCTATAATTCTGGCAACAATACCTTAAGTGACGATTCCTTTCATAGTTGAACTCATAAATGATTGCTAGCATTTTACCACATTTTCTAAACGAACGCAACCCTTTCGTCCTTACATCGAAAGTTATTCATATGGCATTAAGTACATGTGTGCGTCCAGTGATGTTTGACCCCTGCTTCTACCACCGATCCTTCTTGCAAGGTCTGGAATTACGTACAAAGACACAAAAAAGGAGGGTCAGCCTCGTTTGCTATTGCTGCGGCATTCGAGAGAAAGGTTCGCTACGACCCACTTTTCTGGGCGTTTTTAGGCGCACCCAAAGATTAGTAATACTAGCGCACCCCCTTACGAAAATATTCTTATGAAAATGGGAATATGAATGTTACGTTTGGATATTGCCTGAATGTATATTCGGTGGTCCAATAACCCCATATTTATAATAATATGAAGAGTGTGAAAAAAATGTTTTGTTCACGAATTGTTGGCTATGTAACAATGGGATGATGTTTGTTGTGCTGTATTTTTTTATAAAAGGAAATATAACCTGGTGTTGTTTGAGTTACGTTGCGTGGTTATTGTAGGGAACAGCAACTTGTCGTGGAAACCTATTAAAATGGAAATCTTTTGTTTGATCGGCGACTAGCACTTTTCCTTTTCTTCACGTCGACAGCGACTATTATTTATACGACAAACCCTTTGAGCTTTCGTCTCGTTATTTCAATTGTCTTTACAGATAAAATCAAACAGTAGCAATTTCTTAAATATTCAATTTATTTATACTTACACTGAATTTCAGTTCACTTATATTTTTTATATACAAAAAGTTAATTATATCACAATCAAATTAGTAACAAGAATTACATAAATAGTATCTATTTTAATTACATCAATGACTATGATTTTATATTCCACTTTAATTTCTATTAAAACTGAGGCGTTTGGAGTAGGTACTATTTTATACACGTATAAAATTTGATCACGAAAACCTACAAACACGCTAAGGGCTCATTCCACCACCTTCTAATACGGTTAATTGAAAATCTAATTAAATAAATCGTCTAACGGAAACAAATGGTATGTTGCTTACTTACGTTACGTGCTGAAACTCGTTTTCCCATGAAACTCGCGTAATGAGCTTTTCTATACACACAAGATTTGGCGACATTTGCAAGATATTCACGCATCTTTGTTTTGTGAAAACTTTATTCAACGTAAATTTAATATGGTACACACAATTATGAAATACTGCGCAATTTATCTTGTAAATTGGTACCTACTGAAGTACCTACCTGAAATTATTAAACCGAAGGTAGTGAAATTGGTCATAAAACACACAAAAGCAATGTAATCTGGTAAATGAATTGAAAAATATATATTCACACTTGCGTGGTTTTTAGGAGGAAATTAGAATCAAGATGGCGTAAAGCAAAATGGCTGCAGAGTTGTGTGGGGCGCGGGACGCTAGCGCTGAGGCTGGGTTGCGCACGCACGAGCGAAACTCGTGGTAGTCTGCGCGCGTGATTGCGCAAAAGTGAACGTGTGCGCAGGCTGCGTCGCAATCTGATATGTCTGACGTCATACGGACCCGAAGAGATGACAGGTATCTGAATGAAAAATTCAATATAAAATTGTGTTCCTGTGGAGATAGTACGAGATGAGGAGATGCCATACTTATGAATAAGAACGTGTTCCAGTTTTAAAGTGACAACTGTTTTAGACAAAATATTTATAAACTATACGACGAAAACGTGTAAATAAATTTATGGACCAGAATTCACGAAATCTGCATTAAATTGGAGTGATAAATGGATCTCTTCAACTTACTTTGCAAAAATCCCTCGGTCTTGGTGATTTCGTATTTTTTCAGCGAGAGCATCTAAGGATACTGCACTGACGTCTCTTAATCCATAATACTGTGTCAAGTTATATTCTACAGTCCAGTGGAACTCTCCTCTTGAGTTTGTCACGTCTAGGTAATACTGCGTATAGTCTAACACCTGTTGAAGATAATCCACTGATAAAAAATAAAATTTTCAATAAATAAGACGTCTATTTGTGGAGCAAAATATCCAAAAGACGTTTATGGTTTTAAATGTACAGTAATATTCGCAAAGATGAAATAAAACGGTGTTTATTTTTCTCGTTTCCCTATCGACAGCGATTGATTAATCAAATGGATGGTTTGCATACCTTTCCAGTGATAGATTCGAATTTATAAAGCCTCAATCCAGGGTTTGATATACTGCCGGCACCACGCGGCGTCACCGACGGAGCCAGTAATGCCCACGAAACTGGTCGACCTGAGATAGAATAGACAGCTAATATAAATTATTTACATCCCTGATGTAAAACGCACATATTTTACTAACGTAACGTCAAATCTTCCTATCGATACCTCCAATGAACACTACGCCAACTTAATTTTTCGACCCTTTCTGTTTTTATTTTGTCTTTGTTTGTTTCTTTTTTTCATAAAATTGGATTTCTTGTTTTCGAATTTTGTTTTTGGTTTCTTGTTTTAGTGTTCATTGGAGGTATTGATATGACCTATAACTGCTAGGTACAGATCTCTTCTAAGAAGGGGATTTATGTCTTCCACGCTTTTATTTTGATATTACAGTTGGTCGATTTGATTCCCAGATGAGGATTTATAAAAGTATTACTTACTTTTATAAATAAAATTACGTGTCCATGAAGCAATCTCTCATCTACCATATTTAAAGTACTTTTCCTCCATATCTCATAGCGTGAGACGCCCTGTACATAATAACAACTGACAGTAGTCCCTGACTTACCTTCGTTGTAAATAAGTCTGAAGGTGTCTGCATGACGATGGCCATAGAACTGTCCAGCAATGACGTCACTGAACGCTCTAATAACATGCAGTAGTCTAGAATTTGCTGTAGGCGTCAGCTCGCCTCCTCCGACCGCTGCAGCGGTGGTTGCAGTCGTGCGTTCTTCTACACCAGGGCCGGCGTGCGCTACTAAATAGACCTGTGCGATACGGTTACGTGAGAATGAAAAACAAACCAGTAGTAAAAATTATCAATGACAAATATGCTAACAAAGAATTTGTGGGCGGCTGTCGATGAGATAAATTGGATCAATCCTTTTTTCGTGTATATTTTTTTATATTATCAAGTGATGGGACGATCAAGTCGTGGGCCTGGTGGTAAGCAACACTCATGTCCATAACAATTGCATTGCCACTCAGAGCTTTAAATCACAAAGATCTGAGGGGCACTGCAACAGAGCCCGTCGCCCTGAGGCATAAGTTGACAAGTCCCTTGTGCCTTTAATTTCACCAGCACCCTTACCCTTTAAAACCGGAACACCGTAATGCTCACATTACGGCTAGGCGGCAGAAATAGGTAAGGTGGCAGTACGTTCTTGGACGAACTCTTTCACAAGGAACTCTACTGCTACTAAATCTTTAAATTATAGCCATGAAGTAAAAATGTATGTTCGATGCCCAATGATCTCTGACCCCCTGGTCAACCTATCCTGTGGGTTCTGAGAACCATCAACAGAAAAGAGTAAAGGAATTCCAGCCTTGTGGTTGAAATTTGTACCTATGTAATTAAACATGAAATTTACTTAAAAAGTGTCTCGTCATTCACTAATAACGCATTAGCCCGGCGCCCATGTGAAAATAATTACGCCGACGATGATACCGGGTCATCGTGAACCGATTTTCATCGATATGTTTTTTTTTATGAAATTAAAGTAGTTGTCTAAATTTGAATAAATACGTATTAAATTAGGGTTCTTTGGATATACACTAAAATAAAAACCAATATCAGTATATTGTACAAATAAATATTTTATTGGCGTTCTCAATAGTACGTGCAAGATGAACTGAGAAAAAATAACTTTGATATTTATTTTATGTATAGTAAAGTATTCTAATTAATAATAAGAACTAATACTCTCATATACTAAAAGAGGATATCTCATACACTCAAACTAATTATTATTACTACTTCCTCAATCAGAGATATGGCACTGCTGCAACTATTGCAGTACCGTATCAAATGATCCGGGTATAAAGGTAGTATATGTGAATCTAGCATGCATTACATGTACGAGATGTTTGCTTATGCTTTTTAACTGACTGAACATACTTGACATCTATTGACATA